CCTACATTGTTCCAGTTAGGAGGAGAAATTGGTGAGAGTCAGGTATTTTCTGGTGCAATTTTGTTTATTTGCAAGGAATGTACACAATCCTGTTTCCCTGAACACCATAGGAATCAAACAGCAGGAGACAGTTCCTTTGTTCACTGTTCCTGGCATGCCCGTCCAGCCAGCACTCTGTACCCAGAAAGCTTTTTCTCAGCTTTACCTCAGGGACACATGACGGTGCTTCCAGGTGTCTGCTTAGCTTTCTCTCTCTGCTTCTGGCTTGCTTCTGTCTCACTGTCCCTGGGTGTCTCGCTGCCCACAAAATCCAGATTACTGGGTGAGGTCTCATACCCCCTTTGTCTTAGGTGAGATTGTTTAGCTGATTCTCACAGCTCACGAGGGGGAAGAGATCCCAAGCATTTGGATGAGGTTTAACCCAACCCGCAACAGCACCATCACTTACATAAGTCTGTGCCTAAAGGCACAAACTTGCCTATAAAATATAAACACCCACACACACCCACACACACCCACACCCCTGGGGCTATAAAGGATGAAGCATTTGCTTTGGGACAGTATCTTCTTTCGAATCAAGGAGAATCCTGTGCTTGCCTCCTTTATTAGCATTTCTGGAAAGATGCCATTGGACTGGGAACTAATTGTTTTGCAGAGTAGGTGGGTGCACACGTCCTGTTACTGTCAACAAAACATAACCCTCCTAAGCTGGTGCATTGATTATATGAAAAATGTCTTTACCGCTCCCTGGTGCCTGTTTATAACCCAAACTGTTTCAACCTGCCAACGGTATTTTAATGATCGAAGATGTTCTGGTGAACTGAAACAATGCATGATGCTAATGATAATTATCTTGCATTTATATAATGCCTTGCAGTCAAATGTGCCCCAAAGACCTGTATGAACTTTGCTATTTGACATTATGTACTATGCCCAGGATATAGGAAGCATATTGCCCTCCAGTGGAACGAACCTATTCCATAGCGAAATGCACTGACTGTTTAACAGTGCACAGCAATGCTGAATACCAGTTCAGGACAGGAAGTGAAAAAATACTGTACCCACTGGAAAGTTCAGGTGTTGGGGGTTGCAGAGGGAGTGTGGGGGGAGAGGGGTGGATTTAGGTAAGCAGAATGCAATAAACAAAGTTTGAAATTGATCTGGACAGTGGAGCCAAAACGACTCGTTAATGGTCACAAGTAATCAAAACAGAATTAGTCCCAGCATCATTTTTGCCTGTCTCTATATCCTGAAAGTGCACCATGTATTGTACATCATTCAGCTAAAACAAAACCAAGTTGCACCAGGAAGTGCTCCATGTTGCACTCACTGGAAAGGAGAACAGATCCTGGCCCAAAGTAAGGTCTTTCTGCACTGTTTCTGGGGTGAGGCCTTAAAAGCGCCCTAAATGAGCAGCTGAATATCCTAAATGAGTTTAAAACTGGTGTATTAATTATTATTGTTGTTGTATTGCGGTAGAGCTCTAGCTCCACTGTGCTAGGCGCTGGACACATACAGAACTAACAATGGTTCCTGCCCTGTCAGCTTGTCCTACCTCCCCGGTATTGGGGGTTGGAATGGGCATTTGTGGGTTGGAGAGTGGTCAAGGCTTAGCCCCAGAGCACTTCTGGTGGTTCTTACTGTGTAATCACCTACAGCCAAAAGATCTGGTATAACTCTGGGTACTGAAAGAAAATGGCTGCCTTATGCAAATCCGGAAAAGAGGAGGTAAAGGAGGGCCTGCAGAATGTGCCATATAGAAGGCACCTGCTAAGATGCTTTTTCCTTGTTTGTTGCCCTGACCATATCACAGCCCTTATTGAATCCCTACGCTGGTTCCCCTTTCATCACCACACCAAGCTCTGATCTTGACCTTCAAGGGCCTTAACAAAGTTGCCTCTCCCTACTTATCCACTCTTATCTTGTAGCCCTGTGCTGATGATACCCGCTTTGGAGGCCTGTTTGTCTCCTTCTCTCACAACCACCTCTGTGCTTTCTTCCACGCTGCCCCCACGTCCTTCCTGCACAGGTGTGCAAAGGCACCGCCCTCTTGTCTTCTAAGTCACCACTTGTGGTGAGGTGTACGTGGAGTCCTCCAACTAATGCTGACTGGGTCAAGTGGCTGTGAGGGGTGGATGACATTAGAGAGTGTGTGAGAGATATATCAAAGGTATTTCAAAATTGTGTATATCTGGCCGGAGCCCTGTCCCATACCCTTCATATGTCTCTTGTCTTCGATTGTCTGCGTCTTGTGTAGGGACTGTGTCCTACTTGGTGTTCACATTAGCGCCTAGCACAATGGGGCCCTGATCCTGACTGGGGCCTTTGGGAGCAACTGTAATACTACTAAATACTTCTTCTGCTACTACTTCAATTCCTAATGTTTATTTTTGGTAACCCAGGCAATCAGTAACATCCAGTGATGTAACCAAATGATGACTTGAGCCAAAATAAAGCTAATTCTAATCTTCTTCAGATATGCCCACCAAACCAAAAAAAAAAAAAGTCAAGGGATGTGCTTACTGCAAGTATGTGGTGTTGCAATTGTTTCTAGTGAAACAAGAATCCACTGCACCATATTTAAACAAAATCAGATCCAATTATACACCCACTCTTTTGATAAACAATGCAGGAACCATTAGAAACGCATGGAACATTTTCCAGGTCATTCTATAGCTTAGATTATTTTTCTCCCTTTCATCACCCCCCCCAGACTGAAATTGTGTAAAGCTTTAACTTCAAAGCCAAATTGTGAATAACATTGGTTTAACCTGAAATTTAAAGCCGGCATTTCCATGCTCTGTAGACAGGAGCTCCCTGGCCTTTTGCTACCATGCAGCTAGCAACCAGAATTTTAATTTTATAAGCCATGGTTGACTAAACCCAGCACTAGGTCTATTAGATATTATTTGATTTGGAATAGAAAAAAGATTTAAAGATACACTGCTCTCCTATAAACCTTTGTACCTTTTCACACTACGGTATGCATGTCTAGACATTCTGTTCAAAGGACAAGTTCAGATTTTTCCTGATGGATTAAAAAATTGACTCTAAAACCGTTAAATAAACCTACCAGTGATATTCCTGATTTAAATCAGAATGACGGTGTCTAAACAGGCAAATAAAAAGCGGTTATGACTCGAATCATTGGCTATAAAGCAAAAGGATTCCTCTTTCTGTTTCCTGGTTTGTCTTCCTAACAGCAACCACACATTCTGTGGCACCAGTATGATAAAGATGCTGGTCAAAGTTTTCCAAAGTGATTTTAAGTACCTCAATTTTGGGGATCCAATTTGATACACCTTAAAGGGCCCTGATTTTCTCAGTGTTGGTGTGCGGAGCTTTGTGGAAATGAGGGGGCTTTAAATTGTTTCAAGTTGAGCACGCAAAATCTTTTGAAAATCTTGACCGCTGTACGTAAAGACCTAATCCTGCATTACTGTAAGTCAGTGGGAGTTTGGCATGGATTTCAAAGGGGGTAGGATTGGCTCCTACTGGAAGAGTGGTTGTTGCATAGATCTCTTTAGATACTTGCCATCTGCAAGTTTAAATGATGCAGAACCTGTAGTAACAATTGTCAACGCTGCTGGACATTTACAAGCCATTCGTAATGGAAGCCATCTTAACTGTAAACAAAACCTTCTCTCGTATGGTATGTTTAGTTACACAACTCAAAACTTTCTTTAAGGCAGCTCTTGTCTTTCAAATGTGCTCATTTTTGGTATCTAGTGCAGTGTTGCCAGCTCTGACAATTTATTGCAAGTCATGTGGTATGCGGTGTTTTTATTTAAAGCTCCTGGAGTCATGTGAATATGGGAGAATCTCAGCTTTCGTTTAATAAAAGTACATTTGTAGCCCTCATGGTTGCAGAGAAAGGCATGAAAATGCTACCAAGTGCATCTTAAAGGCTCAGAAATCAAAAGGCAAATAAAAAGCAACCATGTTTTTATCTTCTGAAAATCTTGTTACTTTTAAGCCAATCTCATGATTTTGGGGGGCCTGTTTCATGATTTTTGAACTTCTGGGGCTGGCAAAACTGCTGAGTAATGTTGCTAGTCTCTGCCAAATGAATGGGCCTAGAAAACACCCATTGATCTTCAGGAGCGAACCATCCCACCGCTACTGTAAAATCTTATAACTAATACAAGCGGCCATTCCAACTAACACTGGATTGTGAGCCAGGAGCGAAGAGGGCAAAGCAGACCAGACCCTCTAGGATACAGTCATGGTGCCTACTGGTGAGTGCCAGGCCATCTTTGATAGCTGGGCTGCTATTGGTCAGTTGTAGTTTCTGATCAGCCCTGGGATTGGCTGGTGGGCTACTACCTAGACAAGGTGGAGCTGGCTGCAAACAGGCCTCTTTTTGCTCTGCCCTCCACTGCTATAGAGTAGATGGCAAAGTTTAGCGTAGCACTGAAATTCACCAATGAAAAATATGGCTCTCAGCACAGCAGGAACACCCCCATTCTGCAGGCAGAAGGAGCGGCTAATACGTTTAGTGTGTGACTGAGGGGCTAGGAAAACCTGCCTGTAACACCTCAGCTGCTGTGGCTTGCTGCTATGAACCCTCAGGAATTATGCATATGGCAACAATGGAACATTACATTTGGTTTTGGGGGCATGGAGAACTGCCTTTTTTAAGGTTACTGATAACCGTAAATGTGTTCTGTTTATCCTTTGGCTCCTGATCATTTTGTTATGTATTAGGATAAAGACACTTTGGACTTGAAAATGTCCATTTGCACCTAGGAGGAAGCTAGCCTTTGCGGTACCTTATAAAGTTAGCAATGGAATGCATTTAGTAAATTGCGTTACGACTTTGCTATTATAAATGACACCGCGGTTTAATAGTGTCTCTTCCACAAGTGTTTAACTTTTCCTTTTGAACATGCTGACACATGTAATCAAAGGACAGAGTGGAACGCAGTGAGAGGCCGCTGTGTTGTGGCGGTCATTGTAATAGCTATTTATTCTTCTGTGTATTTTGTCATCTTTGAAAGGTATTCAGGAATCTCCAGTACCAAATGGCCATTCCCTCCCGGGTAGAGATTTCCTTCGGAAACAGATGCGAGGAGATCTTTTCACCCAGCAGCAGTTAGAAGTGTTGGATCGAGTCTTCGAGAGGCAACATTATTCTGACATCTTCACAACAACTGAACCCATCAAACCAGAGCAGGTACGATTGTGAACCACCAAGCTTTTCAAATGCACACTTTCTGCCTGTAGACACTTTCTTGCAGGAAATCACCAAACACTTAGTTCTCAAGTTCTAACTAGGAGAACATTGGAGAGTGGGTGTCACATCAAATTCTGTATCAATAAGTGCACAGCAGTCATAAAGGAGTCTGAGTTTGAAAAAAATTAAAAGTTGCTGTTTAAAGGATACAAAGTGTTTGGGGTGTGAAGTTGCATCTGATGGTAGCTTTATAGCAGGATTTGCAAAGAAGGCCAAGGTTTTCAGAATTGTGCAGCTAATTTGGGTGCATAATTACTGTGACTGTGCATATAAAGTGGGATTTTTTTGTACATGTAAATGACCAGTCTATCTAGGGTGACCAGATGTCCCTATTTTATAGGGACAGTCCCGAAATTTGGGGCTTTTTCTTATATAGGCGCCTATTACCCCCCACCCCATCCCGATTTTTCACACTTGATGTCTGATCACCCTAAATCTGTCATCTAACTGGCCATTTGCTCAGGCAAATACCTGATTTGTGTATACAATTTGGATGATTGCACGTGCAGATCAGTTGTGTAGTTCTGAAAAATCTGGCCCTGTTTTTAGGAAGATCTTATATTTCCACTTCTGTTTTTCACATATGGGAATAAAGCACTTATAGGTGTTGACTTACTCTGTTTGTTTGCTAAGTAGCAGGTTCTCGCTGCTGTTAGGCCACTGGTGCAGTACGTGTCTTTGCCGTCCTCTGTGTGATGTAGACATTAAACTATTGCTGTCAGTTCAAGTATAGGGTTCACTTGCCACTGGTTCTGTATTTAGCAATACATCCAGTTAATCATTGGTAATGTCCTACATTTCCACTGTTGAACCAGGGTTCCAGGATGTAAAGATGGAAGGACTGGTCTCCCTTGCTTGCACACATCCATATGAGAGCAATGGAGGGATATCCAGAAAGTGGGAACATCCTGGATAAATCCAGGTTCTGGTAGTAGCTCAAGGAATGGAGAAATATGTTGCTATGAGTTTTTTTTTTTTTTGAGAGTCCTATGCAGTGCTGAAAATTATGCATTATGGTGGAAATCCCATGAGCCTTCGATCACCAGTGATATCTCTAAATATTGGAGAAGCTTCTCCTTGGTTTTGTGGTTGTTGCAGTGTGTTCTACTTATGTATGTTGCAACTCTGAACCTGAACGTGCAAAGCCCCTTTCCACTAGGTCACCGTTCGTATCCAGCAGTGATGGGGAGGGGGCTCATATCACAATGGGCTTGTTTTGTTCCTAGTTAGAAAAAGCAAACAAGGCTATCGCTGTGGGTGAGAGCAAAGCAAGCACTGAGAGACTCAAAGAGTGAAATGCCTTTGCGTGCCACTAGATGGTGATTATTCCATCGCTAACGTCCGTCGGGGTAACGTGGAGATGCTAGCACAGCACTTGTCCACATTGTCGGCTCTTTCCACACTGGCTACATGAAAGTCTTTAGCTGCTAGTTCTCTTTCAGTTTCCTTACTTTCACGGGTCAAAAATGATCGAAAAGAAAATGCTGTGCTGGGAAAAGGCTGCTTTGCCACCTTGTTGAATCTTTCAGATTCAACGTCACTCAGAATTGGAGTTCCAAGTCAGAGTACACAGCACGGCAACACATCTAGGCGGGTGAAGTGTTGCAGGTTACCGAACCCCTGCGGTGGACCTGTTGCTCTAAGCAGAACAAAGGGATCAGCCCAGGTGCGCTGCTGTGCTATCCTGACCACCACACATTTAGCTGGCTGTGGTGAAGACCGATTGCATCAGATCCTTTTTATCTGTATTCTTGGGTGGCTGGTCCTGCTAGTTAGTCATGAGTTAATTGGGAGGAATGGGCCCACTAATTTAATAACTAAGACCCGGATCCTCCAAGGTACGTAGGCACCTAACTCCCACTGAAATCTATCAGTTAGGAGTCTCCATACCTTGGAGGATCTGGGCCTAAGGGCTTGACACTGTGAGGTGCTGAGCACCTACTGAGCACCTCTGAGTGTCTGTAGCTCCTGTGGAAGTTACTGGGAGTTGAGGGTGTTCAGCACTGTGCAGAACCGGCCTTCATAGGATTTGATATATTTAATAAAAAACGGAGTTGGCAGCCTGATTGCCGTAGAGAGGTCTGAGTGCATCCGCCTGCATGGGGAAGCTTGGACCCAGGTTTTCAGTTTGTACGACGGGCTGGTGGTTATTTTCACAGCTAGAAGACTGGCAGTCCTAATGAACACGGACGCTATGCGCAGTAGCTCTGCTCCATAACTTGTAGCAGATGGAGCCCACCTCAGTCCCCCTCAGAGAGGCCAGCCTAGCCTTGCAGACGTGAAGCCCCCTGAAATGGGGAGCGTCTCTGGCTCCAGTCTCAGACCCAAAGAAATCAATTATAAACAAAATGTTGAAGATATTAATTGCTAGACGGGGAAAACCAGAAATCTCCCGGCAATATGTAGTCACAGCAGCCGTACGAGCCTGATCCAAAGGCCATTGAACTTAATGGAAAGAATCCTGTTGAGTTCAAGGGACTATGGATCAAGTGCTAAGCTAGCAATGGGGATAGGAATGATAGCGGCTGCTGAGGAGACACAGAAATATGCTAATGCGAGTCATTCGCCCCAGAGGTGTGGCATTCTGGCCCATTGTGACAATAAGCTGCCTGCTCCCTAACTAAAGTAAATATCCATAAATATCTGCCATGCTGCCATTTTTAGTAATTTTACTCAGGCCCAGCCTTTCTTGATTTCAGGAAGTGGTTTGCTTGAGTGGGAGCTCCAGGATTTGGTCCGCTATTCGCGCAGGTGAATTACAATTCTCTATCCATTCGAATACGGAGCCTCCCACAGTTCTGCCTTGGGAGCTCCCCGTGGGGATTTTCAAACGAGTGGTGAGTGGAGATGTGGTCAGGCTGCAAAATGCACATCTAGGTTTTGAGATGTTCGGGGCATTGGCGCTTGGGTTTTGGCTCAGCCCGTCATATAGAGAAAGGTCATCTGCGACATTTAGAGGTGGATCCTGGTTTGGATTTTGAGCCCCTTCAAAGTTTGTGGTGTTTGGATCGCAGCATGTTAGTTTGGTGTCAGCTCTAAATTGAGGATCTGCAAACTAATGGCAAAACTCTCCTGTCTGATGCTCCCTCTGCGATTGTGGAGCACGCATGGGCGGCAGCGGGAGCTCCATGTGTAGATGAGACTGAAGATCTTCAGTGCAGGGTGGAGAAGAGAATTGTGTTTGGAGGCAGCTTACCATGGACTAGGTCTAGGTGTAGTGCAGGGAGCAGGTTGCACTCGCTTCCCCTATGTGCTCCCACTCTGAAGGAATTCAGGCTGAATTGGTTGAAATCCTCCCACGGGCTCTTGCTGGGACATGGCTCTATGTAAGCTTCAGCTGGGCCAGGACTGGAGCGGGGGACTTCTAAAGGAATTCCAGGCTACAAGAGGCACCGGTGAGCTTCTGAGTCAGTGCTAAAACAATGCCACAGCCTGCCTCTGGAAAGCCTGTGCCCGATGACAGATGGTTTAAGTCCTCGTGACACTTTTCACGCAAGTAGGTGTGACAGCATCAATTCCAGCTTTGGTAACTGTGCTTTACCTGAAGTTTCATTTCTCTGTGGTATTCGTTTTTGCTTCCTGCCCTAAACTGTTGTGTAGTTTTCCCCTCTGATCTGCAAAACAGCTGCTTTGTGGTCTCCCAGGGGTGACTGCAATGCAGAGGTGGGTAAACTGATTGATTGTGGTTTATATGGAGCATTTGGCACGTCTGAGAGACTTTAGGCTGTGGTGTTGTGAAAATACATTCACTCATGTTTTTGGGGGGTTGTAGAGGAGTGGACTCACCCCTGTGGCGCCTCCTGCTGGTGACTTCTGGGAATTAGCTCTTCCAGTGTCCTGGGGCGCCCTCTGCAGGCCAGTGGTCCACCTGTCCTCTGGCCCCCGTGTCCCTCCCAGACCCCGGTGCCCTTGTATCTGGGGTGCTTCCCCCTGGCAGTACACCCCTCAGTACTAGGGTCTCCCCTCCCCAGGGAACCCCCACCCACTATCCCTACCTCGCCTCAGAATAAGGCCACTGCCAGTCACCAACTAGCCCCCGCTCCCTGGGGCAGACTGCTGTATAGGCCACTCATCACAGGCAAGGTTGGGTTTGGACCTGCTGCCCTGGCCTACCCATGGGCTGCCCTCTGCAACCCCCAGTACCCCTTGGCCTCCTACTAGGCCGCAGCCTGGGGCTTTCCAGGCTGGAACTCCCCAGCTCCTCAGCCTTTCCCCAGCCCTGCTCCACCCAGGTACTCTGTCTTAGCTCCCTGCAGCCAGGCCCATCTCTCTCCAGAGCTAGAGAGAGACTGGGCTCCTGGCTCCCAGCCTTCTTATATAGGGCCAGCTGAGGCCTGATTGGGGAGTGGCCCAGCCGCGGCTGCTTTCCCAATCAGCCTAGTAGCTTTTCCTTTGCCCCAGCCCTGCTCCCTGGCTGTTTTAAGCCTTTCAGGGCAGGAGTGGGGTAATCACCCCGCTACAGGGGTTAATCTAGCGATAAGCACCATAGAAAAGCTCATGAGGAAATTAATAATTCTATCTTCAGAGCAGGGTTTGAATAGTGTGCAGTAAATAAGGCCTGGGGTAAGATACTGAACAATGAGGAGAAAACAAAATGTTGAATAGCTGCTCATTTAGTGAGCATCATCCAGTCAGTGCACTGAATGAGACAGGCTCCTGTATCAAATAGTATGTGATCATATCATTAAAGGCTGTATCATAACACAGACACACAAGGGGCCCGAACTAAGGTTGCAACAGGCAACCTGATTTCTGGCATTTCCTAACTTTTGAGTGCTTGGCTTTGCAACCTACATGTTCTTTTAATGTACAGTTTTCTATGCATAAATGCATATGTACATATCGTAATGTTAAGGTTGTAAAGTCAAGCACTCAGAAGTTAAGAAATGCCAGAATTAAGGTCGCCCATGAAACCTTAATTTGATCCCCTTGCACATATG